ATTACATATTGAAAAACATACAAGAAAACAAGAAATGTAGGACAGAGTGGGAAATGAGAACAACATCATCATTTGTTGGACTCTTCACTGGAGTCTCAAATCTTTGTACTATACTGTGTGCTCCGCTTATCATGGTGGTGATTCAAAACTTAAAATAATGTTCAGCTGCACCCAAAAGAATGGGCAACCAAAAAAAAAAAAGTTAGGCTACTTAATAAGTAGGGTTGGATATTGGATACTATATGCCGCCCTGCCTATTTGTTTCTACCCGAAAAACATATAATTTTATTTTAAAAATTTATATAATATATATAATGTCGCATTTTTCAAGTATTGAGCAGAACATAAACAAACTACGTAAACAAATTCAATTTGAAGTTAAATTTTTAGTGGACATATATTTCTCAATTTAGCTTCTTAATATAAAACCCATTTAACTAATTTGATTAGATTAAAGAAGTTAGGTAAGTTAGTTAATTATAAGAAATGTGACATATTTTTCCTAAAATATCATAATCATCTTTTTTTAATACCCCATCTTCCTCTTCTACTTGATTGTGGTTGAGGAAATATCTATAGGGATAATTTAGAGAAAATTGATAAATATGATAAATGGGTCTTATATTTAGAACTAAAACCAACTCAATAATTGGGTCCTATATTAAGGACCAGAGGAGTATAAATTAGACAAATAACATATCACTAAAAAGCTTCCCGAGGCTAATTTCTAATACAATAAACCCATTCAAAAATAAATTATTTTTAAAGTCATGTCCATTCAAATTTAAGCTTTAATATGACAAGGAAAAAAGCAGGTGAATTTGAATTTGATGTAGCAAATTCGAATTTGGTCCATCAATTTCAAATTTGCTCCACCAAATTCAAATTTCCTGCACTATATTCCCAACCCTCGCACAATATTCCCGTTCTACTGCAATCTGTTGTACTCTGTTTTTTATGCACGAAATAGAGTAAAATTCTAAACAAAAAAGGACATACTATAAACACCCATAACAACTCATGAACGTATAATTTATTTTTGATATATTTATATATGTATATAGTCTTTACAGGCACAATCATGACTAAAGAAGCAAACTGAATTAAACAAGAATTAAATATGTGAGGAATAAAATAAAGGGTGGCGGTGGACTGGGTTCACATTTTTTCCACCAAGAGAAGATTAATTTACAAGGAAAATATATATTAAAAAAAAGGAGTAAAATTTATATACACGATACTGTGCATTTTCTTCTCTTCTTTGCTTCTGATTTGTTATGCAATATATGCTCAGGTTGAAATCCCAACTTGATGCGGTCGGTTATCATTGAAGGAAACCCATATATGTGTGTATGAATATAGCCACTAAATCTGCGTGTCTATAGTTATTGCTCATTATCTTGAAAGCCCACACTTGCAGAAGAGTTGAGCTGGTGCTCAAGCTTCACCTTGTGCTTGAGAAAATCGCCGGTAAGTATTCTATAGTCCTCTCTGGCCAACCACTAGACATATTTGATAATCGAGTTTTCAGAGACAAATGGGTCAATCTGCCTTTAGCATGGGCAACTGAAAATTTATGCCCACATTTTTGGTGGAGATAGATTTTCAACTCTTTAAGGGAAAATCAGGCCCTGCGGTCCATTACTTTCTTGCCTTTTCTTTGAACCAAACGCTCACCCCCAATAAAAAAAATCCTAATTTGCCATTTCTATTGCAAGATTTTCCTTGAACCAAACGAGCCCTTATATTTGTTCTTTTTGAGTATTTATAAGGTATAGAATTATGAATATATTATTATATTTGATGGAGTTTCTTTCACGTGTGATATCGCTATTTTATTATTATTATTATTATTGAGAGGCAGATATCACTACTTGGATAAGAAACCTCACCTTTGTCCAACCAGAAATGATTTGGACTTTTACAATATGTCGCAAAATACCACGTGTTCATTCTTCATGTTAGGCATGAAGCAAGGGTCATGCTTATGCCTTGCCTATCGCTAATGTACTCTTTTGATCCAAAATATAAATTTGGTTTGATAATATTTATAACATTTAATATTTTTCCTGTTTCACACTTTGGTACAATTAAATTTTATAAGTAATTGATTCATTATAATTAATGTAGCATTCACTTTTGATAAGGTGATGTTTGAAAAGTTATACAAAAATTTTTCATATTGAATGATATTTTTTAATGGTTATTTTTGGTTTCGGAGCAATAGTTAAATTAAATTTACATTATGGATTCCAGGAATATTTTTAAACGAGTTCTAAATGTCCAAATACATTTTGTAATACTCCTCCGGTCGGACCCAATTTTTGAGTTGGTTTTGGTCCTAAATATAAGACTCATTTCTCATATTTATCAATTTTCTCTAAATTACCTCTATGAATACTCCCTCAATCATAATCAAGTAGAAGAGGGAGATGAGGTATTAAGAAAGATGATTATAGTGTTTTAGGAAAAATGTGTCGCTTTTCTTATAATTAACTAACTTATCTAACTTCCTTAATATAATCAAATTAGTTAAATGTGTTTTATATTAAAGACCGGAAGAGTACTATTATGAGAGGTGCCTTGGCAAATCTAAGATCATATTTTTATACTCCTCCGGTCCTAATTATAAGACCCAATTGACTTATTTGAGGAGATTAAGGAAGTAAGTTAAGTTGGTTATTTATAATAAATATGTGTTGTCATTCCTAAAATATCCTTGCTAATTAAGTATATTGGCTAAAACTATCATTATTAGAAGGATTATCTTGGAAAAAAATGCATAAATATAAGAGACAAAATGGATTGGGTCTTATAATTAGGACCAAATAAAAAGTCAAATTGGGTCTTATAATAAGGACCGGAGGAGTATTACTTTTGAGGGAGTTGTCTAAAAACATTGTGTGACTAATTATCAGTGACTTGTATGAAAACCCGAAGTAATTGAATAAATTGTAAGTGATCTCGTTGTAAAACCTACAAGAATTGATTACAGTGTGAGAAAATCTCAGCTTGATAAAGACCATGATCGAACCAGATTGACTCGACCATATTTACATTTAGCTGTCTATATTTAGAGAGAGACACTCAAATAATCAAGGAGCAAAACTTTTCATTCGTAAGCAATGTTGTCCAAAACTTTTCATTCGTAAGCAATGTTGTCCTGAAAACTTTTTTTAATGTCACCCTAGAAGTATCAAAACATATTGTCCTGTCTAATTAAAATAACTAACATTGACAGTTACAAAATTATGTTGATTGTTAATATTTTTAATAGCAAGGGGCAATGTTGCCTCATTTTAACAAGTTTGAGACAACCTTAAACTCAAAAAAAAAAATTTTGAGGTAATATTTCTCCTTAATAAAAATTTGTAGGACGAATTTATACCCTAATTCAAAATCAATAATCAATGCTGAAAATTTTTTCAATGGAATGACTACTTGATCTTCTCATGAAACCAAGCTTTTGAAATCAATGCTCGTACTATAGTTTTGACGTTGATTTGACAGGTGTTTTGAAGTTCCGGAGAACAAGCCCTTTTCCAACTCAAAAACACTTGTCTAACTGGAAATACTGAGTAATAATTGATTATTGTTTTGATGCAGGCAGGTCAAGGATACTATCGCACACGAGCAATTGTTTCCATGATTTAATTTTCATCTCATGGTTACAAGTTGTTTTAGTTTATAAATCATGATGGGGAAAAAAAGATTACAAGTCATACTCCCCCAACCCATTTTAAGGAAAAACCAGAGTCTTTTTCCTATTATTGGCTTTACTACAAGAAACAACTAATACTCGTATGGATAGGAAGAAAAGTTAAGAAAAAAAGAAAATAGAAAGAAAAAAATGAAAAAAGGAGAAAACAAGAAAAACAATATTATCTCTCCTATTTGGATGGACGAGAAAAAGAAAAATGACTAAATACCTAAACTTTATTCTCTGTATTTAATACAATTTTCTAGCTTTATCCCCAATAAAATTTTTCAACCAAATTATTATTATGTGCTGATTATATGCTGAGTAATTTTAGTAAGGTTTGGGGAAAAAAATTAATTAGTTGACATATTTACTGATTTTAACTGTTTTTCTTGACATGTGCAAACACTTGTTTTTCTTTATAAATGCATACTACTACTTCGGTCCTAATTATAAGAACTAGTTGACTAATTTGAGGAGATTAATGAAAGAAGTTAAGTTAGTTATTTGTCATAAATATGTGTTGTATTTCCTAAAATATCCTTGCTAATTAAATGTATTAGTTATAATTATCATTATTAGGAGGACTATCCTGAAAAAAAAAAAATATAAATACAAGAGACAAAATGGATTAGAATCTTATATTTAGGACCAAAATAAAAGTCAAATAAAGTCTTATATTAAGGACCGGAAGTAGTATTTATTTTGATATTAAACTATTAAAGGTACTACCTGTTTCTGTAGATATAAGAAACATATTATTTTCTAGATATCAAGAAAAATTTTAGTTTTGTTGATTAAAAGGTTAAAGTTCAATTTTGCTCTTGAAGTTTTTATGTAGAAACTTTAAGTATCCAAAAGTTTTTTGTAAATTTAATATCACATCAAAAGTTTTAAAACATGAACAATGTTGCCTTGCACTAGTAGTAACCAAAAGGACGTTTATCACGTCTGACCTTATGCCATGTGTATGATCCTGCATGGGCATCACTGTGCATTTTTCTTAGATTATTTTTTCTCCAAAAATTTGCAAAAGAACAATATTGTCTTGGAACTGTAGGGTGACACATTAATTTATCCATGATAATTCAATGAAGAGCAATATGGGAAATGTGCATTAATTACTACCCCCCATAACTTCCAATTCTCTTATGGTTTGAGACAAAATAGAAGCCTAAAAATTCTCTTATAAATGGGACGGAGGAGTATTAGTTCTGGGCCATTACCTTTATTAGGGTCCTTAGATTGAATGTTAAAACAAAGGGAAAAAAAATTATAATTCAAGAGTGCCGCATAGTTCTGGGACATAACCTTTATTAGAGTCCTTGTATTTAGCAAGAGAATTCCATTTAAATTTACGTTTATTTGGAAGATGTTTCAGCGTCTCTTAATTCCCACATAGTAAGCGAAATACACGAATCAAGAAGTATGTTGAGCAGGAAATGCATTCATCTCCTGAATCACTTCCACCATTGTCGGCCTCTGGTCGGGAAGCTCATGAGTACACATAACTGCAAGCTTCGCCAGCATTGCTGCTTCAGATTTCGCATATCGTCCCTTCAGATTTGAATCGACAAAATCTTCAAATCTGAATGACTCAACTGCCATCTTTATTGAACTACCTATGACAGTTTTCCCAGATACTACTTGAAGGATGATAACCCCAAATGCATATATGTCACTTTTCTCAGTGAATTTCCCAGTAGTAATGTATTCTGGAGCCAAGTATCCCATGGCAGCACTTACTTTCAGAGCTGAGAAAACTGCATCGTCTGCAAGAAGCTTTGGGAGGCCAGAATCCATAATCAAGGGGTTGAATTGATGGTCAAGGACAACCTTTTCAACAGAAATATTTTGATGCACCATTGTAGGCTTGTTTGTTTCATTGCTGTGTAGATGTCCAATACCTGATCAAAAGGTAATAGCAAAATCAAACAAAGTTGAACCCGATGTAGCATTAGACGCAATTTTAAAAGAACAAGAAATGCACCTGTGAGGTGGCCTGCATTTGTTTCCATGGAAAGATTTTCAGTGGAAGATAAGGTAGAAAGCACATGTGATGCAATCATTACCTTTGAAATCATTACTTTTTATGCTTTTAAAGATCCCACTCAGCTATGTAAAAATTAGTTGATGTATAAACAAAATAGAAAAAAAATAGAAGATATTTTTGTTGATATTCAAGTGTGACTAAAGAAGTTTTATGTTAAAAGTGAATGGACCAAGTGGGACAATAAACCATCGATTTAATCATTTAGATTGACTCAAGTATGGCCTTAAGACTACGTGTACTTGGTGAAAAAGAGACAGTTTCTTTTGGTGTTTCAGACTAACAACATTTTCATTGGACCCTTTTTCTTTTTTATTTTGTTTTTCTTTTTTTAAGTAATGTCATCAGGTCCTTATTTATAATTCTTTTTATATGGGGAAAAAAGTTTTCTACCAACAAATAGTGCGCTTGCAACTGAATGGGAAATGATAATGCACGTTGTAATCTGTTTGCAAGTGGGAAATTGCTGGGAAAAATGTTCCAGACTATACGTTGCTTAGAGAATAATGGTAGTCAGAAACACTAACCTTTAGCGATGCCCTTGATGATAGAAACCCTCTTGGACCAGTCAAGAACTTGACCGCTTCCATCTTCCATGTCAAGGTACTTAGACAGGTCACCCTTAGGGGCAAAGTCAAAGACAAGGAAACATTCACCTCTACTTGCTGAGCAACAGAAACCTCTGAGCCTAACTAGGTTTTCATGTCTCAATGAAAGTACCAAGTTCAATCCATCTACAAATTCAGTTTCCTCACTCTTGCAGCATGTCACATTAATGCTTCTTATAGCCACAAGGGAGCCATCCCTGAGGATTCCTTTGTAGACTGCTGATAATTTGCTTTTACTTAATAAGTTAGCCTCAGAGAAGTACTGTGTAGCAGATTCAATCTCATCCACATTAAACCTATAACGGTTTAGGTATTCATGGGATAATCTGTTTCCATTTTGAGCATCAGCCATTGGATCCCATCCATTATAGTAATTAAGATTAACGAGTGGCGATGGACTTCTTTTGTACAATTCTTTAGGCTGATCAGGACTAAGTTTCCCTTCAGAAGATTCTGATGAATTTGTGATTCTTTGCTTTTGGCGACGGTACCTGAGAAAAGTAAAAAGTCCAACGCATATGAATGTGATTATGACTGTTATAACACTTGCTGCAATGAGTGCTTGAGGAAACATTCTTGATTTTGAGCAATGGGTCTGGTTACAATGCAGCTGAAAATTCGCAGGTTCAGGAAAATCCTTTGCAGGAATACTTTCTGTGGTTGGATTTGAAGTGCCAATCTGGTTAGGATTTAAAGTTGGATCATTGCTGCAAGCTTTCAAAGTAGAAAACCCACGTCCACATAAATCCAGGTTATTTGCACCTTGGAATCCATCCTTCAATATCTTCAAAGCTTCATTCAATTTAAAAACATAAATCAGTAAGCATCGAAATGAAAAGAAACAAGAAGACAGGTTTAAAGGATAGAAAGAATGCAGAAAAAATAACCAGGTGAAATTTTGATACAAGCAAAGAAGGATTGAGGCATACCAGTAGGAACCCTTCCTGATAGAGAATTGTTTCGAATATCAAGAACTTGCAAGTTTGCAAGATCAGCTAGTGTAGCGGGGATTGAACCATTGAAGCTGTTAAAACTCAGATTTAGCATCCTTAGCTTCTCCAAATTCCCCAAGCTCAGAGGAATTTTACCAGTTAATTTGTTACGTTGCAATTCTAAGGCAGTAAGCTGCTTCAAGGAGCCCATCTCTTTTGGTATAGTTCCCACGAGCTGGTTATATCCTAACTGCAGCACTAAACAGCATCCAGACCCATTGAACTGGGATTAGCATACAAAACACAAACAAAAGCACACAGTCTTTACACTATTTGGCTCATTGATGGCACCCCGCTTCAGACTAATCATACCAGACTTGAAGTGAGGTTCACGGAATGAAGACATGTAACACTTCGAAATATCATTAATTTCTAATTCAGTTGGACAAAGTAATGCTGATGGCAAACTCTCAGGTACATCAACCACCTAAAAGGTTATCAAGAATAGGACTCGGATTTTTTTCAGTTTTTCCGCTGGCTGCGAAATTCCAAAGGCTGTAAGGGGTCAAGGGGGATTAAATAACTCATGACTGAGTTGAAACCAGGGATAAATTCATATAATAGTAGATAGCTGTGATCACTGGAAATTGATAAACAGAACAGAACTAAGTTATCGCTATTAGTAGTTGCAAACATAAAAAATTCTCTTTCTTTAAGGTCTCCAGCATAATGGAACTCTTGGGGATCAGGATTGAGTAATGATGATTTTACCCTAACCTATTCATCATTTCAGTTATGATGATATGTATGATCTGCACTAACATGCCACTGCATCCTTGGGAGAAGAGAGAAGGCCAAACTGATACATAATCTGTAGCAAAAGTACAATTCACAATATACTAACCTTGGAGATTGGGCATGTTGCCGAGCTCAGGAGGTATGCTTCCAGTCAGATTATTAAAGTCAAGATAGAGATCAATCAAATCAGTGAGATTTGAAATCTCACTGGGGATCTCTCCAGAGAGATTGTTGTAGTGCAGGTATAAACCAGACAAACACTTGAGTTCAGCCACTGCAGGAGAGAGCCATCCTGAGAGCCCCTTTCCCTGCAACGAAATGTTTGCCACTTTCCTGTGCTCGTTGCATGCTATCCCTTCAAACAAGCCACTACACGGCTCGCCATCACTAGTCCAAGAACCAAGAACCTTGCCCTCTGGATCCAGAGACGACTTCAACCCCATCAAAGCTCTGAGCTCTGCATTTCCTCGAACAGATTGCAGACTAGGAAATGCGAGCAAGAGAAGAAGCAGAGAAACCAGGAAATGAACAGAATTCATTTCTGATTCCGGAGCAGAAAAAAGAAAGTTTCCTTTAGCCTCTTCAAGCAGAAGCTCAAAGAAAGACAACCATATCAGTGTGTTTGCTGATCACCCGGTATGAGTTTGTTTGTTATTGTTCTTTGAATTTTCTTTGGTTTCTGAATGGGAAAATAGGAGAAGTATCATGAGACAGAGAGCATTATGAATTGATTTAACTTTTATGGGTTGGTGACAGACAGACAGGTTGATATTCATAACACATATCCGAACAGGTTTTTTTTTGGGGGGGGGGGGGGGGGATGGATTTTACCGTATGAAACTAAAACAAACGCACTGTTTGGCATTTTTCATCATATGCCCCATTCCTTATTTAGTGCTTCTCTCTTTATCTTTAACCACTACCAAACAAATCATAACACAATCGGAGGGGAGGGCTTCCACTAGTTGGAAACATATTTAATCCTAGACTTAAAGACACTCTGACACATTTCTTTTAAAAGTCAAATTTCAAAGTGGAAGCTGTTACAATGTTCTCGGTTCCATGATTCATCTTTAGTTCCACTAAAGACTAACATACACTACATAACATGTGTCATCAACCAGATGTGAACGGAGTATAAGAATAAGAGGCTGCTAATTATTCTAATGAGTAAAAAAAGAACCTTTTTCTTTTTTTTTCGTCATGGAGGATGTGTTTTTTACAGGAAAACGAAGGAAAAAAGGTAGGAACTTTCCATGTCCTTTGAAGTTTGAACTTTCTTGTTGAGATAAGCATAGGAGCAAATCGCGGAGGCACAATCAGAAAGGAAGATTTGCCAATAACTCGTAAACCAAGGGATTAGGTTCATGCAAATTGTATATAATTATAATTATAATGTCGTCTCTGAACATTCAAACACAGGTCTGAAAGTGAAAACAGTGGAGCGACACATGACCATGTTGGATCATTCAATTGTATTGATGAATAATTTAATCATTGATTCAGTATAAATAAAACATGGAATCATTCAAACTTTCCACTCCCTCCTCCTTTCTTTTTTTATAAAAATTTTAAAAAGACATAACTTATTCCTATTTACAAAATACTTTAATGATTTGTTTAAAATATTTATTATTTTTTTAAAATTTTATCTCACTAATTAGTAATAATATTTAGTTAAACTCCATTACTTATCTAAGTGAGCCTGAACTACTATTTACATGAGAGGGATAAGAATAAAAAGTAATTTATATTTTTAAAATATTTACTCTATTTAAATTAAGTTTAACTATATTTTTATTTAGACGATTCAATTATTTATCAGTTCTTGGTTTGAAATTCGAAGTGCATACCTCCCCTCCGACCTAACTTGGGCACTGGCACCCACTCAGAACATGGCAGGATTCCCAAATGGGTTGACTAAATCTATGCGCATATACTAGTAATTTAGAAAATTATGACAGGACAACCTTTAAATAAAATTTCTGCCCACCTTTTCTTTTTTAAAAGAATTAATGGGTACACCCATAATTTTAAAAAATAAATAAAACGTATTATTCAAGAGATATTTGTTTCCCTATTAGTGGCAATAACAAGAATATCACACCACTAAAAGACACAACATTGGCGTTTTATTTTGACGTAATCGCTTGTGGAGGCGTCTGTATCCACGTACATGCAAGAAAAATAAATAAATAAAAATTGCATTTGTTTTCCAAATTAAAAGATAGGTCCAATTCGTTTTGATTTGTTTTCGTAATTGAAATTTCAAAATGAATCCAACCTCTTCAAATTTGAAAAGTCTCCTGACTTCTTCCAATTTACTGACTCTGCACAGATTTTTTTTTGAAAAAAAAATAGGTTAATATGCTCCCCTTATCCTTTTTTATAATAAACATTTGATCAAATCACGTGGATCTAAAAGTTAATTAAAATTGATTAAAGATAACAAATATGTAGAAATTGTAAACTTTTTTTAAAAAAATTACTCTTATTTATGAAAAGAGATATGAGAGAGAATAAGAAAATAAATAAATGATATTTCAGGAAATGAGATAATAAATATTTTGGATGGAGTACTTTTTTTTTTTAACCACTGGTATCCTCATATCAAAAATTTTTTGTTCGAAACACTATTAGGTAATAAAAATAAACACCTCTTCCAGTAGAGATTCGAAGCATGGAGTAATTTTTACTCCCAAATATCATCTAATTTCTAATTAAGTTGTGATTTACCAAATAAATATGAGATAAATTTTGTTTTATAAAGTGTTAAAGTTATCATTTGTAGTGAAACCAAACAGATAGTTATTTGCTTGGAAAGTGTGTACATATATATTAAATAAGAATAAAATTAAAAAAATTATTAAATTTTAAAACAGAATTAATAAAATTTAATTTTTTAATTCAAATAAAGCATATTAAAAATGTCTTGTGAATAAGAATGCAGAGGAATATGGGAGGGTTGATGGCCCAGGGGTATACGGGAGCGGAAGAAATATATAGCATTGGATTCTGTTTGGAAGGGAATTAAGAAAAATAGGGCAGATGAAGCAGACCTTAAACAGAAGCACCTGCTCATCATTATGGAGCATGAGAAATTAATTGCACTGATTTGAGAGTCATCCTTTACAATACTACTCATGCCCTCAGCATTACGCAACACAAGCATAAAGAAAAATAGGGCAGATGAAGCAGACCTTAAACAGAAGCACCTACTCATCATTATGGAGCATGAGAAATTAATTGCACTGATTTGAGGGTCATCCTTTACAATACTACTCATGCCCTCAGCATTACGCAACACAAGCATAGGCATCAATGTGTCTCTTCTTCATGTGTACAAATTAGTGTTAATAATTTGATAAAATTGGCAATAAAGGCCCATTTAATATATTAATTATAGAATGGGGCCTAAAATTTTGCGAAGGTTTGAGTGGAGGTCCTTCTGGAAAATTAAAAAAAAAAAAAAGAGAATCCTAATAAAATCCGACTAAAATACCTAAATTCAAATAAAGGCTTACACTTTTAATAATTTCCTAATTATGCTATGAGGCCTCGTTAGGAATTTCTAAATATTGTTAAATAACCAGAATGCCTCTCATTAATTAATTAGAAAATTTGATTATTTTACCTTTTCAAGTTGTCCCTCATATCTTATGATTATTTTTTGGGACTAAAAAACGTATACATAATTTTACAATATTTAAAATTTGTATATATAAACAAAACCTTCAAAAGTATTCTAATAAAACATTTTAAATTACAACATAAATAGCCTTGAAATAAATATTTTTGTTTTCTGTTGGTGAATATTTATTTTAAAATTTTAAAATATCTTAATTACAAAAAATATTTAATAATAAGTTATTATAAATAACCTTTTTGGGTTGGAATCGCTTAAGTAAATAAAACTAACAAAATTATGAGAACATAGTATTAAATATTTCCTGTAATTAAGATATTTTAAAGTCTTAAAATAAATATTTATCAACAAAAATAAAAAATATTTATTTCCAAGCTATTTAAGTTGTAATTTAAAATGTTTTATTAGAATACTTTTAAAGCTTTTAGTGAAACATACAAATTTTAAAAACTATAAAATCACTTGTGTTTTTGACCTTTACAAAATAATCATAAGAGATGAGAGATTACTAGGGAGGGGTAAAATAATTAATTTTTATTTTTAATTAAAGGGACGCATTTAAGTCATTTGACAACATTCAAAAATTCTAAATTAGGCCTCATGGCCTCATTAAGAATTTGTTAAAAGTATAAGCCTTAATTTGGATTTAAGTATTTCAATCAGATTTTATTAGGATTCTCCCATTAAAAAAGCATATGAAATTACCACAATACCCTTAATAGAATCCCTAAAAAAATGGAAATGGATAAAAACATAGTCCCAATCAAATTTAGGGAATGAAGGCGCACGGATAGAGCAGAGCAAGAGACAGCAGCGATGCATGAAGGAAGTAGAGTGCTCAACAATGACAAATGAGCATGGGTTATTTAGTTGAGACAGTAGAGATGACCAGGAGAAGAATAGTTTATTTGCAATGGTGACGGGTTGTTCCATAGTTGGAAAGGAAGAGTGGCAGAAGTCCATAATTCCTCTAACCTAAACTTTGTTTTGCCTTCCATACTTGAATAAAGGCATTTATTTTGATTCCTAGAAGATAACACATTTAATATATGAGTCTTTATTTTGCCTTCCATGCTCTATCCCTATCCTTGCAATAGTTAAAAATGTCAATGATCATGGTTTTGTGTTTTCACATTTGTGTCTGATTTAATTTGGTGATAGAGAACATGGACATTGTATTAAGAGAAACATGGTTGCATTTGAAAGAACAATTAATGATAAACCTCTGTTAAGATATTAGTTTATGCATATATGCATGATATAGGTTAATGTAATGGTGTTTTTTATGCTTTTGTCTAGTTGGGACTTTGGGATGTATGTCATATGTTGGCTCTAAACTTGAAAAAATAACAAAAGGCTCAAGTGAAATGGTATGACAATACGTGAAGTAGATTTTGTGAAAACATAAGTTATTGTAACATTTATTGTTTTATTACACAATGTTCAATGAGCAAAATTTTTCTCAAGGAGGATATGACACAAAAAAGAGTAGATGTTGTGTGATTATTAGTAACACATGAGAAGAATAAACGCCGAAACAAGGTCATGCAAAAGATTCAAGTATGAAAAGTTGTAAAAAAGACACAATAGTTTATATGGTGCATCAAATTGTTAGTTTAGATGCAGAAAGTTCATCTAGTATATGTGAATATAGATCATATTTGTTTTTGTACGCAACAATTTGTAAATAGGAATTTGTTTGTGGATATTTTATAGAGAAATTTGTTTATATAAATAGTAATGTATATGCAATTAGAATTCTTCATATGCAATAAGGTCTCACATAGCCCCATATGCACGTTTAAATCCGTGATATGCAACTAAGATCCCTCATATGCAAACTAAGCACCTGTAATATGCAATTAAAATAAGTTATATGCAAGTGTGGATTAATTATATGCAATTAGAATCCATGATATGCAATAAAGTCCCATATGCAAGTATACATCCAAATATGTAATTAGAATTAGTCGTATACAAGTTTAGACCTGTGAAATGCAATCAAGATCTGTAATATGGAATAAGATCTTATATGTGACTAGGCATTCATAATATACAATCAAAACTAACCATATGCAAATT